CATCACAATATGGTAAGGGGCGTAACATTTCCGTCACACGCTTGAGGTATTCGGCCAATCACAACGCACTGGATAGCTGGCCAATCACAGCACACCTCGCTTTTTCAGACCGATGAGCTTTGTAAAAATCGACGCGTTTCAGAAAGGAGGGGCATTGAGGAGAAACAATAATGTACAGTATGTGGAAAATAATGTGTTTTTTTTTTACCTTAAACCGCATAAACACATTTCATTACACCAAATACTGTTCTTTTTAGCAACATCATATGACCCCTTTAATCTTATTGTACTCGTTCATTCGGATTCCTATGAAACTTTGAGTCTCGTACCAACTGGGTATCTCATTCTCACAAACTCATCAGTATTGGTCACCAAACCAAGAGGTAATTGACTAATACTATTTAGATGGCCACCCCATGCTTGCTCATTCTAAAAGTACTTTTATTTAGTCCCCATAGATCTGTATACACTTGAATAAAGCAACATTATCCCAAGACAGAGGTTATGACTACTATTATAGATATAAGCCGACCAATATTACTTTCTCTGATAATAGTTTTGGTATGGTCATGCCATGGTTTCCTATGTACACTTAGTAATATTACAATAAACACAGGTAAGGCCTACCTAAATTTAGGTTGGTCGAACAACATTCAGTTGACCTAAATGGAAATTCCCTTTTTGGCCCTTACAGTCTAAGTACACTTAAACTAATGCCAAGTGTTAGCCGGGTCTCTTTCTCATCTGAACTTTAGTCCGTTACTAACAAGGATACAACGTGATCTACTTGAGTCAATCTTTTCAGAGTAAACAGAATCAATTAAAAAATGTAACAATTTATTAGCAGTCAGGTAAATATGTATTATGCCAATTCCAAGATATCAAATCAATACAAGACATCAAATTCTCAAAGATAAATCTAAGAGTAAAAGATGCATACCTGACTTCAGAAAAATACATAGTATGGAGTGTGTGGACTGTTTATAAATTCATGTTGTGTATAGGTGCATTTGTACAGAACCTAATGAAACGAGGGTGCACTAGCAGTTCAGCAGTGTTGGGTATCGTGTTCACATCATTTGCTCTAATGGTTAAACCATGAGGGATTTGCGCCCTAATTGCTTGAGTGCAAACTGATGCCTGCAACTACACCCTGATATGGGCCATTGACGAAAATCTGACTCATTGAAACTAAGACCATGTTCCACTGGCATTCTGGTTTACACACACTTATGCTTTATAATGTTTCATTTGTGTAACTGGGACATCTTCATTAATGTTTTAGAACTTTCATATTCCCTAATTTGTTTATAAAGCTCATTAAGCAACACATTATGCCTTTGTGAAGCTATTTGGTTAATGATGCCTTCATATTTGGCTGAACTTTGCGCCGCTGATGTGTTTATACAAAAGCAGAAGTGTACAGCATTCGGTCCATCAAAAACTCATGGGTATCAAACTACTGACTGTTCAATTATTAAGCCATCTGATGAATGTTTCAGAACCAGCAAACTGTGCCAATAGATGGGGGTTAATTGAGAGGGTGCGCTGTGGCCAGATAGTTGACTGGCAACATCGTTCCTGAAAAGAGCACAGAAATGCACCATTCTGGTAAGTGCCTTGGCCGTAGTTTTTCATTTGAACACCCTGGAGTGTTTTGTTAAGAATTTCTTAACAGTTGCTGAAGTAAACAAACAGAGCGTATTGCAAACCGGAAAGTCTGGAAAATGAGCTGAGGGAATTGAGCCATCAGAGACAGTACTGTAAGATGAGCACCTGAAATTTTAGCCTAAATGTTATCAAGTGGAACAACAAGTACTTTAGTCTCAACTAGTATTTTGACCACAGGCTCATTTAAGCACTGCTATAGAAAATGCATTGCATCCTCCTTCCCGTTAACATGTCTCCAAACATACTGTGCAATAATTTTTTGTCGATGTTTTGCCTTTTGAGTTGTTTTTATTCTGCTCATAACTTTAATTCAGCAAAAATAGTCATTTTAGTGTCTTTAAAGAGATCTTCTAAAGACCTTTCCTCCTAGAAAGCACATCAAATTGATTTGTGCTGTGAAATGAGAATTGTGTAATTGCACTAACATATATTAAAGGGGTCATATGCGATTTCAAGTTTTCCTTTCTCTTTGGAGTGTTACAAGCTGATTGTGCATTTTTTTTGATTTTTACAATCACTTTATAAAAACAATAGTTCTTCAAACATTACATCACTTTACACATAAAAGGAAAATAAAATAAATTACATATTTACATCAACTCTCTGTATCGGCTGGCCCTGTATCGATATTGTGGCACATGTGCAGCTGTGGACCGTGCTTAATTTGTTTAAAATTTTTACATTTTTACAACGTTTAAAATTGAGTAGAAAATTGCGAGGTTTCTAAAAAAGAATGAATAGAGCATATATAGGCTACAACAAGGTTTGTTCAAAACCTCTTGCAAACACCACTGATTATCATATAAAATACTTACCTAAACCCATCTGATAAGTGTGATAATGTAGCATGTGAAACTAAGTCTGTTTTTCTGTTTACTGGAGTGTGAGATAAAAATATATCTTGTTTTTTTTTTCTCTTTTGCTCCCTTGAATGCAAATGGGCCAGATTGAACCCTGGGGCTTTAGTGTCCCCTGCTGCAGACAGAGAGGTGGGATCTCTTTTAAGAAACTAAAAATTCATAATTTTTTGCTGAATAAAAAAAGTTAAACACAACTCGAGCAAAAGCTAAATATCCCAAAAGTCACAGTATGTGTTCCAGGAGTTACAGTGAGACCAGGGGAGTCACATCAGTCAAAAAGGAAGGAGGGAGTGATGCGGGGCAAGAGATGGTGAGATGAAGCGAAAGATTCCATCTTTCCCTGGAGCGAGTGAGACGGAGACACAGATGTCAGTGAACACAAAGTCCCAGGAGACTGTGTGGGGCAGAAGCTCCACTTTCCAACATCTCACACACTGTTTGGTCACACGCAGTGGAATTAAGTTTTTTGGGTCCATATATAGTGACATAATGCACTGAACACCCTGCACAGCTGAGACTGAAGGAACGCAAGCAACCAGATGGGACTTCACGATGGTCCTGTTCGTTTGAACAGGAAACATCTCGTCTACTTTTAGCCAACCTGCATCCATTATGTAGCTCACACAGTACATCTCGCATCTGCATGGAAACAAGTCATTAAATGTGAAAGAAGTTTACATTATGTAAAGATAGAGTACAGTCACTTCAGACTGACTGTTGTGTCCATCAAAACATGTGACTGTCCTTCAGAAACAAGCATGATAAGCAGTTCTGTAGCCGGTACAAAGGATTCAAAGGAGCGGCATGTTTTGACTCGTGAATATATGGCTCAAAGTCACATTCAGAATGTGATAGGTGTTTTTCTTTGGATTGAAGCTCTTAGTTTGAACAGCATACAGTATCTTGCCACAATGCAATTCAATTTGTGTTTTTTCTTCTATTTTTTTCAGTTGTGTTACTGTGCACAAATACTGTTTTTTATAGCAGAAAATACCTTTTTAATGTAATCTCAGATATTTAAAAAATGTACTTGCGTTTTGTTGTAATTTTATTGCTGTTATATTCATTCATTTTTAAGCAAAACAAATGATTCAGTATATTTGTATATTGCCATTTAGAGCAATTTCATACTTTTTTACTGTTTTAATATTTTACTGATAAGATGGAATATGTTGATCATTTGTTGTCAATGTCATGTTTTCCTGTCACTGCATTCAATTCACCTGCGCACAAGTCACGTCACACCGTCATTAATATTTTGACGTCCTTTTATTCTTCAATGGTTTCTCGAGGCAGTTTGACGTAACTTTCATCGAGAGAGAGAGAGAGAGAGAGAGAGAGACAGATCCACTTGCTAATGCTGAATTTTGGTGGCAGCGCGCGCTCAATGGGGTCACGAGGGAATGAACAAACTCTGCGCGAGCGACCTGTTCGATGCTCTCGCGCTCTATAAAGTCCTTCACTCAGCTTCCACCGGAGAGATACCCACCTGCCCAACGACACGCTTAAATATTCAGGCTGAGATATCTGACTGAGCTGTAAAACTTCACTAGTTTGTGAGGGTCAAAATGAGCTCCTCGCTTCCAAAAAGCGAATCCACCACATCCCTAATCAAAACGAACCGGAGAGTCCGCGCGGACCCCGCGAGCCACCGCAACGGGCACCGGCATGCGGGAGGCGGCGGAGGTGGCGAGGACTCGTGCTGGACCGATGAGTGCGATGCCACCGCCCGCAGACCTTTGTGCCAACCGAAACACGGACGAAAAGGTGAGAAGATCCAGAATTATCAGGAGGATGGACCGGAACACCGCAAACCGTCACGGCACCACCACACCATTAACCCTCCGGGCCAACTCCACGGGAATCCCCGCACCAGCCGGACGCCCTCGCCGACTTCATCCCTCTCCAAGCGCTCGGACGAAGCCGCGCTGTTCTTTGAAACGAAGGACAAGCATCGGACGGGCTCGAATCAAAGCGTCACCTCCAGTCCACCTCCAGCGCTTCAGCCCAGCAGCACACGCGCCCACGGGAGAGCGAGCGCGTCCAGCGGCGCGCTTGATGCAGACCTCCATCCCATAGTCAAATCAGTCTTTGGACAGGTAGGGTGACTACTGTAGCCTACTATGCTTTTTGAAGTACACTAATGATGCAGTATATCTACTCAAAAATATAATGGCAACAGATTAGTCAATATTTGATTGAGCAAGTTTCAATCAAAAAGTGAATCATTTAAAATCAGTAAGATGGTTTTAGATTGTTCTATATTATGTGCCTCATCTCATGTGGTACAACATAAGTACATATATACTGCATAGTGTCCATGGACCAAGATTTTAGTTCTGTCAAATCGATTAATCACATCCTTTTATTTTGATGTGATTAATCGATTTGACAGAGCTAGATAAAATTGATATCAATAAGGGAAAACCTATATTGTAGGGGCTGTAACTGGCCGCCATGTTCTTCATATTTTCACAATTTTAATCACCTTTTGCCTTTTTAATAGTTCACAACAAATGTTGTGACAAAGTATTGTTATTATAAAAATAAAATGTAAAATAAGAAAATACATAAATTAATATTACAAAAATAGTATTATTAAAACATAAATACATAATTAAAAAAATAACGTAAAAAAATGTAATATTAAATACATTTTAAAAATATCTATCTATCTATCTATCTATCTATCTATCTATCTATCTATCTATCTATCTATCTATCTATCTCTCTCTCTCTATATATATATACATATATGAGGTCATAAAATTATTAATAAACTAAATAATAAAAAATAGCTTTAGCTATTTTTGTTGTCACACTGCAGTAGGGTAACAATCAACTAATCAACTGTGAATCGACATCACAATAAATTACTAAACATGACAACAACAACAACAGTATAAACAATTTGGCAAACTGTCAAACCATAATTATTATTTATGCCTCGATGCAAAAATAAAACCATTGGATTCACTCAATAATCTCTTCATTACGAATGACTATACCCTTCGTAAAAGAGTGTAGATATTATTCCAAACATGTTTATATTATGTTAACACAAATTTGGTCACAAAATATATTATTACTGAAATATTATTATTTTTTTAATTAAACAAAATTAAACTCAACAGGTGGCCAGTGGAGAAGAGTGGCCAGAGTTTGGTTTTTTTGGGGGGGACATTTTGGGCTTTTCAAAAACGAAACAAAAATGTAATAGGTTTTGAGTCACTTTAGATAAAAGTGTCAGCTAAATGACTAATCATCAAGTGAATGTTCTCGCTTATAACCTAATGCTGCCCAGCTGAATGATGGTTTATGACACTTCAGTGTGCATTACAATGCCTCATAGAAGACGTTTTGAATAATGTGTAATTGGAGAGCATGTGTCTTCGGGGATATGATCTCTCTATAATCAGATGATGATGATAAAATTGAATCATGCATGAGGATTTGAAGATTAAAGTGAAACAGAAGTCTCAGAGATGTGCCAGGTTCAGGTCAGAGTTTACAAACAAAACAAAGCCAGCTTAGGAGTCAAATGCTGGTCAGAGTGCTTGTTTTTTTTGGGGGGGACATTTTGGGCTTTTCAAAAACGAAACAAAAATGTAATAGGTTTTGAGTCACTTTAGATAAAAGTGTAAGCTAAATGACTAATCATTAGTGAATGTTCTCGCTTATAACCTAATGCTGCCCAGCTGAATGATGGTTTATGACACTTCAGTGTGCATTACAATGCCTCATAGAAGACGTTTTGAATAATGTGTAATTGGAGAGCATGTGTCTTCGGGGATATGATCTCTCTATAATCAGATGATGATGATAAAATTGAATCATGCATGAGGATTTGAAGATTAAAGTGAAACAGAAGTCTCAGAGATGTGCCAGGTTCAGGTCAGAGTTTACAAACAAAACAAAGCCAGCTTAGGAGTCAAATGCTGGTCAGAGTGCTTGATTTGACCCTATGCTGTCACATAGAAAGCCATAGCAATGTTAAATGACTGATGGATAACTGATATGTATATTATATAGTAAAATGAGAAGAGCTGTTTATAACCGCATATGTGGTGTAATCTAAGCATCATTTTTGAATCTCTGGTTATTCAAATATTAAAATATGATACGACTTTTTAGAGTTTTTCCATATACACTCTCATACAATGAGGGAAAAAGCAGTGCATTGGGCCATATTTCTACAGTGTGTGTTACACCTTTATCACCTATAACATGTTCATGCACCATGATTCTTTTCTTCACTGTAATTTGATGCCACTTTCTCCTGCTGCTTTCTTTCTCTGAAGGACAATAACTAGCCATCCTGCTAATGTGCCACAGAAATAACACCTCCAAATTCAGGTTAAAGCTTCAGTAGGTCAAAGACACAGAAAGGCACACATTTATCTTGCGATCTAAATGAGGACATACCATAGACTTAAAATCTTTTTATATAAAGTTAATTATATTTACAACAAACTAAAACTAACCCAAGCCTTAACCCTACACCTAAAATAACACCTTTTAGCATTTTTTACAAATGCAAACAAACAAATGAACACTTTTTTGGTCTTTCTAGTTTGTACTACAGGACCACTAAAAGGGACATAGTGATGAGAGGAAAACGCAATAGTTTTGTGAGAGAATGCAAAGTATCTTGGGGGAACACAATCCTTTTGCAAGAGAATGCAAAAGCATTGAAATATAATTTTGTCCTTTTTTCATCACCATGCCTCCATATGAAGTACAAAATAATAGAAAGAAAACAAGTTGTAGTTTTCTATTTTTTTTTTATCAATAGCAATGTTTCTGGCTGGAACATAGTTTGTACTTTAAACAAAAAAATATTTTTATAATTTTTAGTTTCAAGGACATTCTGGCTTTGCCAGATTTAGCTGACTTCTGGAGACATTTTTGCCTCCCAAGTACAGTTAACAGTAAACACTCACACACTAACTCTAACATTCCTTATATACAGTTTTAGTGAGGATGCAGTGATTTTCATACTAAACCAATACCCTAAACCCAACCCTCAAACAAACCTGTTGGCATTATTAGATTTAAAGCAAAGCGTGATTTGGCCCATTTATTAGAATTGAAATAGCAAGACTTCAGAGACAAATAGCAACACTTCAAATGTCGATTTTCGACATATTTCACTATTGTAAGCACATTTTCAACAATTATAGCCCAAGCTGAACACAAAAGCACACAGAAACCCTTCATCGCTCTGTGCCTGTGCTGAAATAAAACAAAGAATTAAATGAAAGTGAATTTGTTTAATTTGTATGTGAAGAGAAGGGCACTTATCTGGAAAAAGCATTTATAAAGAGCTGAGAGAGTGTGTTTGTACTATTTCCAAAGCCCATTCAGCAGTGTGTCATTATAATCCAGCCTATAATCAGCATAGTTTTGATTAATCATTATAAATGTAATACAGGTCCAACAGAAATCACATTGTTACCCCAAAACCTTTTTTAAGACCTACACCTGAAAATGTCACGAGATGCCTATTCTGTCACTGTATAAGTCTTTTCTTACAGTCAGAAACGTAAGATTCAGTATTGCTAGGAACCAGGTTGAGTCAGTCCCAGATTTGACACTTTTGCTCGGTTTCAAGCACCTCCCAGGCATCATTAGTATTTGGCTCGTAAATGTCACGCAGTCATTTTGTCACAACCCCTCAATGTAAGACCTGTGCAAAAGTTAAAAGCATGCATGTTTCTTGAAAGAACATTCAGCTGTGACTGACGTGACACACGATTGCGATGTCATACAACATGTTCGTGCACACATGAGCTCAGCTCGCATCCAGAAAAGCCCTGCATTTTAATGCGAAGGGAAACGCTGCTGTATTTATAGTGCCGCCGTGTCTATTTTTTCCTCATAGTGGATTGATATTCCTCAAATGCTGTGTTTCATATTTCCTTATGTAACATCAAGGCCTGCATACAATCCCTACAGAAATCATTCTCCGCCAGCAGGCGCTAAATATAGCAGCTCAAGACCTGATTAGAGAGGAGAGGGGAAAGCTGTCTTTTGTGCTGGAGTGAAAAAATTCAAATCCATTAGCTACCTGACACGTAGAGTTTGAAACCGTGAAACTGAAGAGTTCAGTTTCATCACCCTGTTGAGACTGATCTAATGTACATGTCAGAACATATAGCCATATCTGGTTGCATATTAGTTTTAAAATGATCAACAGTGTTTGGCTGATTGATACGTGTGATTTTAATTATAAAATCAACCAGAGTTTTAAATATGCAAGCAGTGTGTTATATATACACACACTTAAAAGGAGGTTCAAAGATTCGTATCTACTTAAAGAACGTTTTGGATTTAGAAATGGTTTTGTTTGAGAATGAAGAAAGGAGGGCTAAAGATACCAAATGCAATGAAACATTTAAGCATGAAAAAGTTTATTTAGGTAGATATGGCTCTAAATTAAAATGTCTCTTTCATCGACCTGAAAGTAAGTCTTATTACTTTAAATGTAAATTTTTAATGGAACACAAATGAGCCTAATTTAGCACCCTAAAAGGGTTCTGCTATTGTAACAAGTCCAAAAACTCTAATTTGAACCACTTAAAAAAACAATACATTTAAAGAAATCAGATAGATTTTATTTTGAAATGCATGCAGAAAAATGTAAACTTTATTTATACTTCCACAAAGACTTCCTAAAAGGGTTCTGATATTGTTACAAGTTCAAAACCTGTAATCTGAATCTATTTTGAATCACTTCAATAAATTAAACATTTTAAGAAATATAAGGAAAGCAAGAAATAGTGGGTGCTAAGATAGGTACATTTTGTATGTAATAAACAAAGAGCAAGATTTAATCTAATATAATGTTTTACAAAATCACCCTATTAAAAGTACTACACTTCTGCAAGAGGGTGAGAACAAATAGCATCTACCCATAATGCTTTGCAACATAAACAGCCAATCAGAACTATTTACACTGTTACACTGGGATGCTACAATTTACTAAATATACAAAAGTCAGTGCAACTCACAAATAGTAGAAATGTGGAGAAAAAGATTAATATAAAATGAACGGGGGTAAATCCGGAAAAAGATGTTTTTCTTTTCCTGAAGTTTA